TGGGGAGCTGGGAGTTAAATCCAGCTCTGTCGCACCATGTTGTCTTTAAGAAAGGCTACTTTGTGAGGTCTAGTTCTGATCCAACATAGTGAAAAGAATTGATGTTAACTCCACATACATCAATCTCTCTTATCACTATAGGAAGTTTCCTTTTTAGACGCTGTGATCAAGGCCAGATTAATACCTTAAGAGGCTCTAAGCTTTAAAAAGAGAAGGATGTCCTCCCAACACCATCCTCTACAGATTCAGCTTGCAAACCATTATAGACCATAAAATAAATACAACAAAGTACCAATTTTTCCCATAATGACTTTTTAAATTTTTCTTTTTGAAATACCAACAATTCTTAAAAAAGAATTCTTAAAATTATTTTTCTGGGTGTCCTAAGTGCATGTTTAAATGGTTAGCAATTCAGCACTGACGGTTACATACTAATTCCTGGAAAAGATGTACAAGGGTTATAATTGTAAAGGTAAGTTCGGGACGAATGGTGATGGAAACAAGTGATCAGGAAGGAAACAGAGCAAGCAAGTCAGGGAGTGGCTCTGTGTTTACAATTTACAAAATCCACCTACCATGGGTGGGATCAACCATCTACAGGAAATCTTTCCAAAAGAATACAGCCTGTAGTATAACTGTTACTGATGTCATTTAAGAACTCCCTACAGATCTCCAGGAAGAAGTCAACCTCAAAATTAAATAACATCAATCTATAAACCTGGGAAATGCAAACATTAAGACAGTCTGGAGAAACAAAGAGGGAGGGGAAGTATTATGAAGTCTTGAGGCAAAAGAAGGAAAGGAATTCTTGGAGAATTTACAAAAAGAGCAACTTGATGGTAAGAATTTTTTAGTGTGTCCAGCGTTGCCTGAGGAAGAGGGGCCTCAGATTTGCAGCATGAATTTTTTTTTTGTGAGGAAGATCAGCCCTGAGCTAGCATCCATGCCAATCCTCTTCTTTTTGCTGAGGAAGACCAGCCCTGTGCTAACATCTATTGCCAATCCTCCTCCTTTTTTTCCCTTTTTCTCCCCGAAGCCCCAGTAGATAGTTGTATGTCATAGTTGCACATCCTTCTAGTTGCTGTATGTGGGACGTGGCCTCAACATGGCCTGACAAGCGGTGCATCGGTGCGACCTGGGATCCAAACCCTGGCCGCCAGTAGCGGAGCACGAGCACTTAACCGCTAAGCTATGGGGCCGGCCCTGCAGCATGAATTTTTTAGTTGGATTAGCTAGTATCATCTTTTTTTTTTTTTTTTTGGTGAGGAAGATTGGCCCTGAGCTAACATCTGTTGCCAATCTTCCTCTTTTTGCTGAGGGAGATTGTCCCTGAGCTAACATTTGTGCCCATCTTCCTCTATTTTGTATGTGGGACACTGCCACAGCATGGCTTGATGAGCAGTGCGTCGGTCCACGCCCAGAATTCGAACCTGCAAACCCCGGGCCACCAAAGTGGAATGCACAAACTTAACCACTGTGCCACCGGGCCGGCCTCTATCATCTTGTTTTGAAAAAGTCCAACTGATCCTGCTGCTGCAGTTTAGTAATAATATTCCATTAAGATCATCTGACTATCTTTGCTTAGATTCTATGCTCATCAACTTATCAATTGACATCCTAGGAGTCTGATATTGAGAATGGGAGCCCCTACTCAGAGACACAAGGCTCCATTCAGCATGGCGTATATAATCCATTAGGTAATACATAAATTGTCATCTAGATTATAAATCATTCTCTTACAAATTACAGGATCTCAAGGTTGGAGGATACTTCAAAGACATTTACCCATCCATCTGGTGCTGACATTCCCCCTACAAAACAGCTGGCCAGGCGTTGTTCATTTTTCCTTGAGCATCTCAAGAAACAAGAAATTCATTACCTCTTCACTTCTTTGAACACCTGTGTTAGAAAATTCTGCTTTATATTGAACAAAAATGTGTTACTGTAGAGCCTCCAATACTAGGTTGACTCCTTGGGTCCAAATACAAAACGAACTAAACCTCCAAAAAAATATAGATAAGCTCCTGTCCCTGACAAACCTCTTTTCCAGGCCAAATTCCCTAAATTCTTTAACACTTCCTAATATAGGATGGTTTCAAACCATTACATCATCCTGATCACCCTCCCATGGACAGGCTTTAATTTCTATCTTAAGGTGTAGTCTTGGGCATGATCAAGTGTTTTTGAAAAATTGAAAAAGTGAGATATTTTCATCGCAAATGGTTAAGATGACTGTCTTTTTCTGTTCCTTCTTCCCCTCTGTCACACTTCTTTTCAAGTCAGGCAGTGCTGGAGTGGCCATGAGCATTTCTGGAATAAAGCTCCTTAGCTTTACTGTGTTGTGTTGTACTGATGCTGTGTTGATGGTGTATTTAGTTTGGGTTTAGGAGAATGTATATCATGTGCTTCACTGACACTTCCATGTATAGTTAACTGATTGCTAGCTGTCTTGGTGTAGGAATAGCTTCCAAGAATACTCCTAGCACTCACTATGCTAATTTCACTCAGCATTGTGACACTAAGTGGCAGGTGTGTTAGGCAGCTAATTAAAGTGTTATGAGTTTTGTAATATTAAAGAGATTTTTCCGCTTTTTAAAATATAAAATGTGCTATGAGTTTCCCCTTACAATGGGGAAATTTTATGGTACATAAATTATACCTCAATAAAGCTGTTAAAAATGTGCTGTGGGGGCCGGCCCAGTGACACAAGTGGTTAAGTGCGCGCGATCCGCTGCGGCGGCTCGGGGTTCGCCGGTTCGGATCCTGGGCACGCACCAAATCACCGCTTGGCAAGCCATGCTGTGGCAGCGTCCCATATAAAGTGGAGGAAGATGGGCATAGATGTTAGCCCAGGGCCGGTCTTCCTCAGCAAAAAAAGAGGAGGATTGGCAGATGTTAGCACAGGGCTGATCTTCCTCACACATACACAAAAAATGTGCTGTGATTTCTTTTCTTACTTTAAATAAATATTAGCTTTTGAGCCTAAAGTAAAGTAAAATAAGAATATACAGCCAGGTATCTACAAAAAGCTACACCAAACATCATACTTAAGGGTGAAATTTTGAAAAAAGTCCCCTTTGGAAACTAAGAATTAGACAAGGGACTCACTATTACTTCCTCTGTTCAACATTATATTAGAAGTTCTCTTTTTTTTTCACGAGGAAGTTTGGCCCTGAGCTAACATCTGTGCCAATTTTCCTCTATTTTATCCTCCACAGCATGGCTTGATGAGTGGTGTAGGTCTGCACCCAAGATCTGAACCTGTGAACCTGGGCTGCCGGAGCAGAGCACAAAGATCCCAACCCTGAAGAACTTCTCCAGAATCCAGGTTGCTGAATCTTCCCTGCTGCCTAGAGAGATTCCATATCACCTCTTGACAATGGGAAACTGGGTGATTAACCAGTGGCTCTCAGTTTTGATTCTGGTAAGTGGTGTTTCATTTCTATTCAAGCCATGCTGTGGCGGCCTCCCATATAAAGTAGAGGAAGATGGGCATGGATGTTAGCCCAGGGCCAATCTTCCTGAGCCAAAAAAAAAGAGAAGGATTAGCATCGGATGTTAGCTCAGGGCTAGTCTTCCTCACAGAAAAAAAAAAAAAACATAAACAACATGCTCAGCCTCACTAGTAATCAGGGAAATGAAAATTCAAATCACAATAAAATAGTATTTCACTCTCACTAGAATCATAAAAATAAAAAAGTCTAGAAAATACCAAGTGTTGGTAAGCATTTGAAGGAACTGGAATTTTCATTTACGGCTCATTGGAATATACATTTATGTGAGCACTTTGGAAAAGGGTTTGGTGTTATGTAGTAAAGTTGAACATTCCCAGGAGACAGAAATTCCACTCCAGGGTATATACCCTAGAGAAACTGTAGCATATGTACATCATTCCATCAACATTGTCCCATCATCATATCCAACAATAGTAGAATGAATAAATAAACTATGGTATATTCATGCAATGGAATATTATATAGTAGTGTAAATGGACTGAAACTACATGTACCAACATGTATAAATCTCAAAAACACAATGTTGAGTAAAAGAAGCAAATCACAGAAGCATACATACATATAAACAGCTAGGTTCCATTTATTAAGTTCAAAAATAGGAAAAACTAAACAATACATTGTTTAGGGATGCATTTAGTTAGTAAACTATAAAGAAAAACAAGGCAATGATCCCCATTGCCACCCTGCTCATTTCAGGATAGTGGTTACATTGGCTGGGGGAAGGAGAGGGAAAGAAGGGGGATGCGATCAGGGAGGGACACACAGAGGGCTTTAAGATCCTGGAAATAAAAGTTCTATTTTTTTAACCTAGGTAGTGAGTACATAGATATTCATTCCTTAATATTATTCTTTAAATTACAAATGTATGTTTTATACACCTTCTGTGTATGATATACTTCACCATTTTAGAGAAGGAAAAAAATAGTGCCCCCCAGAACTCGAGCTAATCCATTATACTAGGAGACAATCCCCTCCCTCATTTTGCATCCTCTGACTCTGTTTTTTGAACCGAGGTGTACATTTATATCTGCTAAATTTTCTCTTAGTCTACTTGGCCATTCTTTTCACTTGTCCTGCCAGCCAATCAAGCTGTCCCCAGAGCCAGATCATCCTCCAGATGCTGAAGTTTCTGGCTAGCCAGGCTGAAGTCCAAATTGCAGCTGGCAGATGCAGCGGCTCTTCTGAAAGCCCACCTTAAAGCAATTTCCTTAACGTGATTGCTCTCTGCCCTGCTTCTCCTGAGGTCATCTGTTTATAGCCCCAGCCAACTGTTTTTGTTGTGAGAAAACTTAGCAAATGTCTCATCAAGGAAGGCAATGCCTCACATTAGGTCATGTTGATAAGATGATGAGAGAGTATATTCTCACTCAAGAAGATTGCTATTTCCTGAAGGGATAAAACCCCACCAGGGAAAACCCCTGTGGTTCTCATAGGTAGGGCTGGTAATATAGTTCCATTCCGAGGAGGAAGGCAAAATGCACTTATTCATTCCTGGAAGCTTTGTGGGTAGATGTGCATCTTTCACATCTTAAAGACTCGCAGACACTGAGCTGGACAAAGATCCCAACCCTGAAGAACTCCAGAATCCAGGTTGCTGAATCTTCCCTGCTGCCTAGAGAGATTCCATATCACCTCTTGACAATGGGAAACTGGGTGATTAACCAGTGGCTCTCAGTTTTGATTCTGGTAAGTGGTGTTTCATTTCCCATTAATTACTCTTAACAGAGTAAGGAGACATCATGTTTGTTAATATTTGTAAAGTTATTTGAAAGGGAAAGATTCCATGCCAATATTGGGCTTATCAAGGCCAGTTAATTAAAAAGTCCAACTCTAGAATTACATATGTATGTTTTATGTACTCTTCTGTGTGTGATATATTTCACCATTTTAGAAAAGGAAAAAAACCAACTCGAGAAATTGATTGCTAAAGAGACAAAAGATATGCAATTGTTCATGTTGTCAAGCCACAAGTACTTAGAATTTCAATCAGTTTTCATTTTCTTTTTTTTTTATAATTTTATTTATTTATTTTTTCCCCCAAAGCCCCAGTAGATAGTTGTATGTCACAGCTGCACATCCTTCTAGTTGCTGTATGTGGGACGTGGCCTCAGCATGGCGGGAGACGCGGTGCGTCGGTGCGCGCCCAGGATCCGAACCCGGGGCGCCAGCAGCAGAGCGTGCGCACTTAACTGCTAAGCCACGGGGCCGGCCCTCAGTTTTCATTTTCTGTCTTCTCTTTTTCTCTTCCATCATTTCTAACTACTGCCATGGGGCATTAATTTCTCTTCGTCCTTCCTATACTGCCTCACATCAAGATTTCATAAAATCATTGAATGTTTGAGATAGAAGTGATCTTAGAGATCATCTGGCCCAGCGCTGTCCACTAGAAATATAATGTAAGCCACATATGAAATGTTTAAATTTTCTAATACTTACATTGAAAAAGGTAAAAAGAAATAGGTGAAATTAATTTCTAGTAATATATTTCATTTAATCCAATATATCAAAAATATTAGGGCTGACCCTCTGGTTAAGTTTGGTGCCCTCCACTTCAGCAGCCCGGGTTCAGTTCCTGGGCATGGACCTATACCACTCACCAGCAGCCATGCTGTGGCAGCGACCCACATACAACATAGAGGAAGATTGGCACAGATGTTAGTTCAGGGCGAATCTTCCTCAGCAAAAAAAAAAAAAAAAAAAAGTTATCCTTTCAACATGTCATCAATATTGAAAATATTAATGAGAATTTATATTCTTTTATTTTTACCAAAAGTTTGAAATCTGAAGTGTAATTTACACTTACAGCACATCTCAATCAGGACGCGCCACATTTCAAATGCTCAGTAGCCATATGTGGGTAGTGGCTATGGCATTGCATAGTGCAGATATAAACCAACTCCTTGATTTTACAAGAGAAAAAGTGAATTGATTGCAGAGCCGTCACTCAAACCCAGCTTCCTTGTGTTCAGGCCAGAACTCCTTTACACAGTACATGTGCACAATCCCTTCCTCCTAATGCACACACATTTCCCCACTCTTATTCTTCCATTTCTGAGCCACCCCTGAGCCTGGGACTCCCTGTGTCCTTTGTCACTTTCCTAGATCTTCATGTCATTGCTCCTCCTGGGCTTCTCTCTTTCTTCCTTGTTTTCCTTTGGGTCCCATAGGACTACCCAGGTGCTCCAGGGAAAAAGGTGTGCAGAGCAGTCATGTTCCCCTGGAGGGTTGTTTGTTTTGCATTTAGTGAAAGGCCAAGTGCTTATTTTGGCACATTATCCTATGACATATTTTCAACACTCAATGCCCTATATTTAATTCCTGTTGCACTAAATTAGGAGACAGGGAACCTTGGAATTAGTTTCAGTTATGCTATTAATTGGGTGACTTTGATCAAATTATTTATCCTCTCTAGACTTCAGATCACCTGTGTGTGTATGTGTGTGGCGGGGATTAATGAAGTGACTAGATTAGATACAAATATAAGGGTATTTCTCGCATTAAAATCCTCTGTGCTTTTTATCCCTCTCTTATTTTTTGCTTGAAGAGTTCATCGCCCATGGTGGTGACTCACATTTAACTATCTAGCTTTGAATTTCCATCCCCCACCAATCCTGCTGGCAGGCTCCGACTTCTTGCTATCTCTGACATATACTCCTATGCACTAATTTTTTAAATGAAAAATAAATTACTCAAAAAATATTTTTACTCCTCTTTTCTGCCAGGTCTTCTACTCCACTTTCTTTTCCATTCATAGTGGAGGAAATGATAGTGAAGGTGGGAAATGGAATTCCTTGCTCCCAGATGTCACTATTTTTCATCATTCACCTTGCCTACAATTCATGATGGGCTGACACAGAGTTCTTTGTTTCTGTGTCCCTCTAGGATCCTGAAATATTTCTGCTCCCTCTAAATAAATTTCTCTCCTCTGTCTTCTGAATCTTGAGGTATCTGTGGCTTTCATCTCTCTTTTTCCATTAGGATCAAAGAATCTCTGTGAGACATTCAACTCTGGAAAGTGTGTCTGAGCAAAGGATTCAGGAAGAAAGTGATTGGTAAAGCCAGTCTGGTAACGATGCAACTCTGTAGCCAGCATTTGTTAAGCTCTTACTATGCACCAAGCATTGTATTCATTACTTCACATGCATTATTTCACGTAAGACTCACAGCATTGCTGTGAGGTAGATATTGTTATTATCCTCATTTTACAGGTGAAGAAATTGAGGTTCAGAGATGTTAAATCACATGTCTGTCTAAAATTACAGAGCTAGAAAGTGGTAGAGCTAGACTTTGAGCCCAAGGAGTTTGACTCCAATATCACACTTTAAATCACTATGCCATGCTGCTAAAGGTGTGCGAGGGGTCCAGATCTAGGGAATCTGAATGGGCCATGTTCTAGGATAAAGGCCCTCTAGCCGTGGGGCTGAGATGGTTCTGATCCATCCTGGGGCCAAGGATATATATTAGAGGCATCCCAGGGCCCTAGAGTCCTGCTCAGTTACAGACCAGCAAGTCCAAGCTTGAGCTAGAGCCCATTTGGTTGGTCTCTAAGGCAATGGGCAGTGGGTTCCAAATCTCCCCCGCCCCTGCCGGTGCAGAGACAGAGCTTGGGATGGATAAAAGCAGTCTTAAGAGCTCAAGTGAGGGGCCGGCCCAGTGACGCAAGCGGTTAAGTGCGTGCGCTCCGCTGCAGCGGCCGGGGGTTCACCGGTTCCTATCCCAGGCGCGCACCGATGCACCGCTTGTCAGGCCGTGCTGTGGCGGCGTCCCATATAAAGTGGAGGAAGATGGGCATGGATGTTAGCCCTCGGCCAGTCTTCCTCACAAAAAAAAAAAGGAGAGAGCTCAAGTGAGTCCAAAGCAATGATAGGTTAATTTAAAAAAACACGCACAATCTAAAAACGGAAAAATGTGTGTCAGGGTATAATTAAAGAGGCAGGCCCATCTGGAATGGTTTAGTCCTTTGCAGATGGGTATTGTTATAGATGTTAAATTTATTTTTCGATTCTTTAGAAATCCATTTATTCACTTCTTGCCATCCTTTAGGTGCAATAGTTTGAATGCTGTAGTCTAGAAGTTGGCAAATGTTTTCTCGAAAGGGCTAGGTAGTACATATTTTAGGCTTTGCAGGCCATATGGTCTCTGTCACAACTATTCAACGTTTCCGTTGAGTCATGAAAACAGCCATAAACAATACGGAGATAAGTAGGCATGGCTAAGTTCCAATACCACTTTATTTATGGACACTGAAATTCGAATTTCATATAATTTTCAGCTGTCATGGAATATTATTCTTCTTTTGATTTTTTCCAACCATTTAAAAATGTGAAAACAAAAAAAAAATGAAAACCGTTCATAGCTTGTAGGCTTTACAAGCCACTAAACAAGTGGTAAACTAGATTTGGCCCTGGGCCTGGGCCCTGCTTGATAGTGGCTAATGCACATCTTGAAGTGCTAACTCACTCTGAAAGTAAGTTAGATACTAAAAGGCTTGTATTCATTTAAAATGAGAACAGATAAACACAAAATAGCCAAAATGGTGACACTATTTCCTATCCCTCATCTACTCCTTCTCATACCCAAATTTCACTTTACTCTTTGCTTGTTTTTTCCTCCTCTAGGCTATTTGGTTGGGGCTGAATGTTTTCCTGTTTGTGCACACTTTCCTGGTGTATGAGAAGGGTATCAAGTACTTCTACACAAGAGAAATCCTGGGGGTGAGTACCACAGTTGTGATGTGGGGAATATAGTTTTTTCTTCTCTCTGACCCTGGCTCCTTTGAGACCCAGTGCCTTGATTTCCTCTTGGACTAGGGTTTCCAGAAAAAATACAGGATGCCCAGTTAAATTTGAATTCCAGAAAGATAACAAATCATTTTTTTTGGTATAAGTGTGTTCCAAATATTGCATCAGACATAGGTATACTAAAAAATTATTCTTTTTTTTTTTTTTTTGGTGAGGAAGATTGGCCCTGAGCTAGCATCTGTGCCAGTCTTCCTCTATTTTGTATGTGGGACGCTGCCACAGCACGGCTTGATGAGCAATGTGTAGGTTGGTGCCTGGGATCTGAACCCACGAACCCGGGCTGCTGAAGTGGAGTGCGTGAACTTAACCACCACGCCACCAGCCCTGCCCCCAAAATTATTCATTTTTTTAATCTGAAGTTCAAATTTAGCTGAGCATCCTGTATTTTTGTTCACTAAATCTGACAACACTATCTAGGGTATACTCCCCGGACCCAATAATGAAAGCACACAATAAAGAAAACTATTAAGCAGTGATTTTCAAACTGGTTTCCACAGAAGCTCAGGTGCTCCTACAGGGTGTGAGGGGAAGGCTAACTGGGCAGTGCTTCTGCCCCTGCCCCTGTGTCAACCAAAGCAGCCTTTATCTGTCTAATGGACTCCTGCTTATGATTTTAAGAAAGAGTTTGGTTAAAAACAAATAAACGACCAATCCAATCTCTGTCCCTATGTGTTTGTTTATTGTTGTTATTATCTACTACTTAATGAAGGGAATCATACGGTATTTGACCTTCTCCCTCTGACTTATTTCACTTTGCATTATACCCTCAATGTCCATCCCTGTTGTCAAACCAATGTTACTGCAATAAACAAAAAATTTAAAAAAATTTAAAAATAAAAAATAAAGTGACCTAAAGTGAAAAACAAAAACAAAAACAAATAAACGGACCATTTGAAAACCACCGCTGTGGACTGATCTCACAAATACCTCTCTACCAGAGGAATACTGGGGGTGGGGTGGGGGCAGGGAGGAGGTGTCTATGGAGTGGATGGTGCTGCAGAACTCAAGGCCTGCAGACAGGTGGAGTTAGGTCAAAGTAACAGGTTAGAGAAGGCGGGGAAGTGGTGGATTAAGAACAGAAGAGGAAGGGTTGGGAGTGGGTAGGGCACTTTGGTGTGGAGGTGACCAGGAAGAAGCATAGAGGTGAGAATGGTTTTTTACAGGCTCATTAATCTGGCCACTACCTGATTAGAAAAGCAAATTTGACTGCTAGCTCTAGTCAGTTATTCAGTAACAGGTAAGGGATTTGGTTAAATCACTTTCATCTTGACGGTGCCTTTTTTTGTTAGCTTTCCACAAAGACCCACCCAATGTACATGTTTAAAGACAGCTTGTCCTTTTTAAAAATCCTTCTTTTCTCTCCATAATCAAAGGATCCATGTTGAGATTGCAACTAATTTGAATGTTTTGTTCATGGCTTATTTTACCCTGCTGTTTTCCATTTTAAATGTTGGTCCTTGATCCTTCTTTGGAAAATATAACTCCAAAGGAAGTGTTAATTTGTTTTAAAAATAGCTTTTTATTAAGAGAATGATGCAATAAATGTGACTAGTTATTAAGAGCTGAACTGTTTTATGACCAAAAAGCAGCAGAAAAATGAATCATGCTGATATCCTGTGGACATTATATTTTTAAAAATCCTCTTTACTAAAAAAATTAATTATAAATAATACTGCTTTCAAAAACAATAAAAGAAAATAAATAATACTGCTTTCAATGAGATCAAATGATCTAGAAGTGTACAAGTAAAATGTGAAAAGCCCTCCCATCCCTCTCCCCAGAGATAACCACTGTTAATAGTTTGGTGTGTGTGTCTATATAAACACACTGACATGCTCACAAATGTATCAGACATATAGGTTTTGTTGTTGTTTTTGAGGTAGGTACTATTCTTATTTACTTATTTATTTTCTGTATGCAGTAAAATTTGCTCTTTTTTGGTGTACTGTTCTATGAGTTTTGATAACACATAGAGCAGGACACAAAGTTTTTTGTTTTAACCAAAAAGAGATCACATTGTAGATATTGGCTGGAAATTGCTTCTTATACTTAATGTATCTCAGATATCTTTCCATGTGAGTATGGAACCGTGATGTGCTGAAACCGGCTCACACCGGCTTGCAATAGCCAGTTGTGTGTATCTTTTCACTACTCTGCATTCAGTGGTGTTCAGTGACATCAAGTTGGTATCTTGAAATCTGCCATGGTGGGAGAAGTTACATCATGTAAATAGGAAAGTGCTGGAAAAGACCTCCGCCTTCCCCTTAAGCTGATTGTTACATATTTACCACCCCTACACCACTGCATATAGCACTCATCCTTTTAAGAGCATAGTAGTCCATGGCATTGAGGTGCCATAATTTATTTAATCATTCTGTAGAGTATTTATTAAATTCGTGCTTCCTCTAGGAGAATACAAAGAGTTACTTGATTCATTATGAAGCAGAGCAAATAAGTAGCAGAGGAAGGAGTTTAAATCCATAGTCAATGAGGCATTAATGACAGCAGCAGTTGAATTAGAACATCAGTTAATGTCCATGTTGAAAAATCAATATGAATTAGGATATTTCAGTGTACTGCAATGGGGAAAAAAGAGTTGCTCTAAAAAGAATTCATCCCATATAGATAGCCCCCACAGAATATGGAGCTGTGAAATTATAGTCCTACATTTTCAATTAACTTGCCAATTTTAGCTTGAAGAAACCTCTGTGACTCAAATAAGCAAGCTGTGGGAACCAATGTGGAAATGCAAGATCTTTGAGATGAGCAGAGAAAATTTACTCAGAAATGGAACAGACTGGCTGTACCAAAAACAGTCGGACTGTGACTCAGCAGAGGGAGAAAACACAGGTCATGTGGAAGAGCCAGAAATGGAAAACAGTAGGGCAGCCCTTGTTCACTGCACTGCCTGACATTTGTAAGCCATTATCGACGCTAGACAGATCTCGACCTAGCTTATTAAACTGACATCACATTGTCCCGGGTTTAGGTTGTATGGAAAAATAGTTTTTGTGCCGAAAAGATAGTTAGAAAACAGCTGAGAAATTGTTAACTCTAATTCATATTCTTCCTTTTAGCAAGTCATTGACAGGCACATATGAAAGGCTGGCCAGTCAGCTGAAGTGCAAAAAAATTGCCTGGCTGCTGCCACCACCTCAGCTGCTGCTGCAAGATTATCACCCTCTGTAGCCTGCAGTCCCAAGTACATAGAACCGAGTCAGAGACCAGTTGTACAGAGTTGAGGAGAGAAGTCAAACTTAGCTCCCATGGAGTTGAGCACATTCCATCCAGCCTATACCTAATCAAGCCTGTTTCTGGGCTAAATACTTCTCTGAGGCACTGATTCCTTGTCTCCTTTTCTAGCAGCCTCTACTGCTGGATCAGATTGATCTTGATGTATGCTGCCTGGCCACCCAAGGAAATCAGTTTGAAATTCTGTTCTCAGTTCTCCCTTCTCAAATCTCTACCTAAGTTTAAAATTTTTGCTCTGCGGAATTCACTAATTTTATCTAAGCTTTATACAATTATTAAAGACATCTTAAATATAAGCAGTTAAATCTTTTTTATTACATGATTGGTACATGCTTATACTTGCAACATTAGAAAATACAGAAAAGAGAAAAAATAGTCACCATCTGTAATTATACCTCTAAATATATAGGCTTTATTTAAAATGCAAATAAAAATATATATGATCCTCAAGATTGTTTTACAAATGACAAAAAATAAAATCATAATTGAGGGGCCGGCCCGGTGGCGCAGGTGGTTAAGTGCGTGCGCTCTGCTGCACGGCCCGGGGTTCACCGGATTCGCTGGTTCGGATCCCAGGTGAGCACCAACGCACCCACTTGTTAAGCCATGCTGTGGCGGCATCCCATATAAAGTAGAGGAAGATGGGCATGGATGTTAGTCTAAGGCCAGTCTTCCTTAGCAAAAAAGAGGAGGATTGGCATCAATGTTAGCTTAAGGCTGGTGTTCCTCACACACACAAAAAAATCATAATTGAGTGCATTACGCAAAAATAATTCTTGCAAAGTATTACACCCATAGAATGTATTTGTTAACATGGGATCGTTAAATCCTGTTCTCATTCATATTGATACATGTATAGTCAAACATTTCCAAACCATTCTTATAGGAATTTCTTTTATTTTTTTGTGAGGATGACTGGCCCTGAGCTAACATCCGTTGCCAATCCTCTTCTTGCTTGAGGAAGATTGTTGCTGAGCTAACATCTGTGCCAATCTTTCTCTACTTTTTTTTATATATGGGACGCCGCCACAGCACGGCTTGACGATCGGTGTGTAGGTCCGTGCCCAGGATCTGAACCCGTGAACCTCGGCCCACAAAAGTGGAGCATGCGAACTTAACCACTACGCCACCAGGCTAGCCCCAGGAATTTCTTAATTGAAAATTAAGTTCATGGGCCAGCCCCATGGCTTAGCGGTTAAGTGCGCGCGCTCCGATGCTGGCGGCCCGGGTTTGGATCCTGGGCGCGCACCGACACACTGCTTCTCTGGCCATGCTGAGGCCGCGTCCCACATACAGCAACTAGAAGGATGTGCAACTGTGACATACAACTATCTACTGGGGCTTTGGGGGAAAAAAATAAATAAAATTAAAAAAAAAAAAAGAAAATTAAGTTCAGTGAATTTTATGTCGTTTGCAAACAGAGAGCCTGGACTGATTGTGCTAGCTAATGAGAAAGAGGGGAGGAAGCTGCAGCCCTGCCCATTTCCAGGTCTCAGACAAGTGGACTGGGCCCCTGCTTATCTGCTAAATGGTGAGATGAAGCAGCTGATGATCTCTTCTCTTCTCTGCTCTAGTCAGCGTTGGCCTGGGCCCGAGCCTCTGCTCGCTGCCTGAATTTTAACAGCATGCTGATCCTGATTCCCGTGTGTCGAAATCTGCTGTCCTTCCTGAGGGGCACCTGCTCAGTGAGTCCCAACCACTCATAGGTCAACTATCACATTAAAGACAAGAGACCCTGAACTCCTCAGTAGGACAGCCCAACACCAAACCCCTAGGAATGGAAGCCAGAGGTCTCCTTTGGGAGCCAAGGGGATGGCCAAGTGTGGGTGGTATTGGCATGCTCTGTGCAAGACATGTTGGTTATGGGTTAGTGAATTTCATAAAGCTGCCTGGAGACACTTAACCTTGATCACTTTACATTTGTAGTTTTGCAGGCGCACCCCGAGAAAGCAACTGGATCACAACCTCACCTTCCACAAGCTGGTGGCATATATGATCTGCCTACACACAGGTAACTGAGGCAAACCATGAAACTGTAGGCTCCCAGGCATTCCGAGTCTAGTTTCATTCATCCATGCATGTAGACATACAAAAAATATTTATTGAACACTTGCCACTATTTGCTAGGCACTGTTCTAGGCCTATTTTCATGGAATTTACATTCTATTCCTTTGGGAACAGAGTGAGTATAAAAAAGATCTTGGAGCTCTCTGCCCTCAATGTCCATTGGGCACCTTCTGTGGACTCAGCATTCTGCTAGACACTGTACATAGGATTCTCCTTTTCTAGTGGGGCTTGCTTGCCATTATGTTCCTGAGACACCTTTCACATTTCTTTGCGTCTTTCCATTTAGCTATTCACATCATTGCACACCTGTTTAACTTGGAACGATACAGCAGAAGCCGACAGGCCACAGATGGATCTCTTGCTTCCGTTCTCTCCAGCCTATCTCATCAAGAGAAAGAGGGGAATTCTTGGTTAAATCCCATCCAGTCCCCAAACATGGTGAGTTTACTCAATGGCAAAGCATCTGGGATCTGGGTATGAGCAGGAAGGACATGGTATCCTTGGTGGACATTGTATCAGGCTGAAATTTCTCCTTTCATAGACAGTGGAGTATGTGACATTCACCAGCATTGCTGGTCTCACTGGAGTGATCATCACAATAGCTCTGGTTCTCATGGTGACTTCAGCTATGGAGTTTATCCGGAGGAGTTATTTTGAGGTCTTCTGGTATACACACCATTTATTTGTCATCTACTTCATCGGCTTAGGTATTCATGGCATTGGGTAAGGTCCTCAAACCCCCATTCTCATGCCCTAGCTCCTGACCTTGCATAATTCTTTGCTGCAAACTGTCCTTCTTTGTCTGTCTCAGTGGAATTGTTCGGGGTCAAACAGAAGAGAGCATGGAGGAGAGTCATCCTCACAGGTGTGCAGAGTCTTTCGAGAAGTGGGATGATCGTGACTCCCACTGCAAGCGTCCCCAATTTGAAGGGCACCCTGCTGAGGTAAGAACCCTATGGACAAGGATAGACTCTTGTTAGGATCTGTTATTGTTATTGTTGTTATTATTATTACCATTATTAGCTCAGCCCTGGTCTGGGTCCTATGGAGGATATATCTACAATGTTCCTACCTTGGAGCTCCTATTAAGGACCTATTAATTATTATTAGCAGGGGGTCCTGAAAAGGAAGGAGTCATGGTTATTGCATGTTGGGAGACCCTCTCCAAAGCTAATAATGATAGCCCACATTATTAATGGTGTTTACCATGTGCCAGGTTTGCTGTATAACATGGATTTTTTCATTTATACATAGCAAAAACCTATGAGGTAGGTACTTTTTTGTCTCCATTTTGAGACAAAAGGACTAGGATTCAGAGATATGAAGAAAACTGTCAAGCTCTCACAGTAAGTAACTAGTGGAAGCAGAATTCAAGCCCAGGCCTTTCAGGTTCCAAAGATTGTGCTCTTGACCACTGTACTGTCCCAAAGCTTAGCTGTGAAATCCCAGTCAATTCTGGGGGGGAAGAAAAGCATTCTTTTTTCTGGCTTTATTAAGGGGTAATTGACAAATAAAATTGTATATATTTAAAGTATACAATGTGATGAATGATATATGTATACTTTGTGAAATGATTAGCACACTGAGGTTAATTAACACATGTATCACCTCACAGAGTTACCTTTTTATTGTGGTGAGAATGCTTAAGATCTACTCTCTTAGCAACTTTCAAGTACACTATACAGTATTATTAACTATAGTCACCCTACTGTACATTAGATCCCCAGAACTTATTCGTCTTGTCACTGAAGGCTTGTACCTTTTGACCAGCATCTCCCCATTTCCCTCACCCACTCGAGCCCCTGGTTAACCACCTTCCTATTCTCTGTTTCTATGAGTTCAACTTTTTTTTTGGAGCATTCTTGAAGTCAGCTTTCTTTGGTGTTATAAGAACACGCTTGGAAATTACTTTTAGTAGTGGATGATCAAGAAACTGGGTTCCAGGACACTTGAGATGTGCCTCAGGGTAATTATCGTGGATATTATGCTTTACCTTTGCTTGCTTGTAAAATACGTTAGATTGAGGAAAAAATTGAAGGGAAAGGTTGACTTGTGCGTCACGGTGCTCTGAGGATGATTCAAGTCTTTAAATCAGATGCAGAATTAAGAGCAACAGCTCAGTCCTCATCTAGAAAGAGAAAAATATCTTCAAAAAATCCCCTAAAGTTGGCATTTCAAATCAGTGGGAAATAAGATTATTCGATAATTCTTTTAGGATAATAAAATAGCCATCTAAGAAAAAAAGCTGTACCTTTATTCCACACTTTACACTAAAATATGGATCAAGGATGCATGGATCAAGGCAGAGAACAGATTGGTGGTTACCAGAGAGGAAGGAGGTGGGGGGAGGGCAAAAGGGGTAAAGGGGTACATTTGTATGGTGACGGATGGAAACTAGACTTTTGTGGTGAACACAATGCAGTCTATATAGAAACTGAAATATAATGACGTACACCTGAAAATTACACAATGTTCTAAACCAATGTGACCTCAATAAAATTAAAAAAAAGAAAGAAAGAAATCATAAAAGCACCCTAAGACCACATGGGAAATTTTTTTTCTAATACTGGAATATTAGTAAAAATACTTTCTAAATAAGAAAACGAAAGATAATAAATTTGAATAAATATTGAAATTTATTATCTATCTATCTATAATTTTTATGGCAAAAAAACCCACCATAAATAAAGACAGGTGACAAGTTACTAAGTAGGAAAAGTATTTACAACTCACAGACCATGAATGAATTTCCTAATATGTAAATAACTCCTATAAATCAATAAGAAAATGCCTAATAATCTGATAAAAAAGATATAGAAGATATGAACACAATGATCACAGAAATGAAGATATATGTTAATCTTAAATATATGAAGTGATGCTTAACGTTATTCATAATAGAAGAAATGCAAAATAAAACTACATTAAGATACTTTTTTTTTAATTGATTTTTTTTTTTTTTGAGGAAGACCAGCCCTGAGCTAACATCCATGCTAATCCTCCTCTTTTTGCTGAGGAAGACCGGCTCTGAGCTAACATCTATTGCCAATCCTCCTCCTTGTTTTCCCCCAAAGCCCCGGTAGATAGTTGTATGTCATAGTTGCACATCCTTCTAGTTGCCGTATGTGGGATGCGGCCTCAGCATGGCCGGAGAAGCAGTGCATCGGTGCGCGCCCGGGATCCGAACCCGGGCCGCCAGTAGCGGAGCGCGCACACTTAACTGCTAAGCCACGGGGCCGGCCCAAGATACTTTTTTTTTTAAACTAACAGATTAGCAAAGATAAAAAAATTTACTCATGTGCTATATTGACAGTGCTGTCATGCATTGCTGGTGAGAGTGTCATCTGACACATTGCTTGTAAGGGTGATTTGGCAGTATTTATCAAACTTTAAAATTCTACTTCCAGGAATATATTCTAAAAATATATTTGCATATGTGTTTTTTTTTTTTTTAAAGATTTTATTTATTTATTTATTTATTTTTTCCCCAAAACCCCAGTAGATAGTTGTATGTCGTAGTTGCACATCCTTCTAGTTGCTGTATGTGGGACGCGGCCTCAGCATGGCCGGAGAAGCAGTGTGTCGGTGCTCGCCTGGGATCCAAACCCAGGCCGCCAGCAGCGGAGCGCATGCATTTAACCGCTAAGCCACGGGGCCGGCCCTGCATATGTGTTAAATTACATGTATTAGGTTATTCATTGTATTCGTTGCTTGATAGAACAAAAGATTGGAAATAAGTGCCCATCAGTAGGGGACTAGTTAAATTATAGGACTTGCCTACAATGGAATACTCTGCAGTCATTAAAAAGAAAGAGGCATCTCTTAAAGGTACTAACATGGACCAGCCTCTAAGATGTTAAATGAAAAAAAGGCAGGGCAGTGTGTATAATCTGCTACCATTTGCACTTAATGCAATATTATCACTTAAATACATATTCTCCAGAAGGATTCACAAAGCAATAACATTGATTGCCCCTGGGGAGCTGGGGGATAGGGATGGAAGGGAGATTTACTTTTCATTGTGTACCCTTTTGTTCTTTTAAATTTTGTGCCATGTACATGTATTACATATTTAAAAAATAATTTTAAAGAGACATACCTGGCATTTGTTAACAGCACATTTCATTTCTAAAGTCAGAGGAACATGTAAGCTATAACCAGAGATCTATATTATTTGACCAGTAGACAAGAGGCCCTTAAAGACAGGAAGCTATAAAGCTTGATCAGCCCCTTACTAGCTAAGGCGATTAATCCCGTTTTACCTTGCACTTCAACTTTTGTCTTTTTCCCATCTATTACCTGAGATTAGGTAAATTTGGCCTATTTGAAGGTGTACTTACAACTCGGGGGTTGCTTTGACTGGTCACATAATACCCCAAGGGAGAGAACACCAGTTTTGCCATCTGTTTGAATGTATTGATTTGTTTCTTCCATAAACATTAAAAAAATACTCTCTCCATATTCTCTCCATTTAAAAATTATAAAAATAATACATGTTTATTGTAGAAAGTTTGGAAAACACAGAAAAATATTTAGAAGAAAATAAAAATTTCAGGGCCGGCCCCGTGGCTTGGCGGTTAAGTGCGCGCGCTCCGCTGCTGGCAGCCCGGGTTCGGGTCCCGGGCGCGCACCGACGCACTGCTTCTCTAGCCATGCTGAGGCCGCGTCCCACATACAGCAACTAGAAGGCTGTGCAACTATGACACACAACTATCTACTGGGGCTTTGGGGGAAAAACAAATAAATAAAATTAAAAAAAAAAAAGAATTCAATACAAATTTAAAAAAAAAATAAAAATAAAAATAAAAATTTCAGAGTTCTACCACCTAGAGGTAATAATTTTTTCCCCTTAATCTATATCATGGGTGCTTTCCTCTGTTATCAAATATTCTTCTGAAACATTTGTTCTAAAAAAGCTGTATGGTATATACTTTTTGTCATTTTTTTCTACATGGTAATTTTTTTTTATTTTATTGAGGTCATATTGGCTTATAACATTGTGTAAATTTCAGGTGTACATCATTATATTTCAGTGTCTCTATAGACTATATTATATTCACTACCAATAGCCTAGTTTTTATCCATCACCATATATATATGCCCCTTTACCCCTTTTGCCCTCCCCCCACCTCCTTCCTCTCTGGTAACTACTAATCTGTTCTCCTTATCCCTGTGTTTGTTTATCTTCCACTTATGAGTGGAATCATATGGTGTTTTTCTTTCTCTGTCTGACTTATTTTGCTTAGCATAATACCCTCAAGGTCCATCCATGTTATTGCAAATGGCATGATTTTGTCTTTTCTATGGCTGAGTAGTATTCCATTGTATGTATATACCACTTCTTTATCCATTCATCCATTAGCAGGCACTTGGGTTGCTTCCACATCTTAGCTATTGTGAACAATGCTGTGATGAATATAGGGCTGCATACATCTCCTTGAATTGTTGATTTCATGTTCTTTGGATAAATACCCAGTAGTGGTATAGCTGGGTCATATGGTATTTCTATTTTTAATTTTTTGAGAAATCGCCATACTGTTTTCCATGATGGCTGCACCAGTTTGCATTCCCACCAACAGTATATGAAAGTTCCTTTTCTCCATATCCTCTCCAACACTTATTTCTTGTCTTGGTAATTATAGCCATTCTGACAGGTATGAGGCAATATCTCATTGTAGTTATTTTGTTTGTTTTTTGGTGAGGAAGAGTGGCCCTGAGCTAACACCTGTTGCCAATCTTCCTCTTTTTGCTTGAGGAAGATTAGCCTGAGCTAACATCTGTGCCCTTCTCCCTTTATTTTGTATGTGGGTCACTGCCACAGCATGGTTTTGATGAGTGGTGTAGGTCTGCACCTGGGATCCGAACCCTCGAACCTGGGCTGCCGAAGTGGAGCACACGAACTTAACCACTACGCCACTGGCCCAGCCCCTCTCATGTAATTTTGATTTTCATTTCCCAAATAATTAGTGTTGCTGAACATCTTTTCATGTGCCTGTTGGCCATCTGTATATCTTCTTTGGAAAAATGTCTGTTCATATCCTCTGTCAGTTTTTTGATCGGGTTGTTCATTTTTTTGTTGTTGAGTTGTATGAGTTCTTTATATATGTTGGAAATTAACCCCTTGTCGGATATATGATTTGCAAATATTTTCTCCCAGTTTGTGGGTTGTCTTTTCTCGTTTTGTTGATCTGTTCAATAAATGGTGTTGGGAAATCTGGAATGCCATGTGCAAAAGAATGAAAGTAGACCATTATCTTACACCATACACAAACATTAATTCAAAATGGATTAAAGACTTTAATTAAGATCTGAAACCATAAAACTCTTAGAAGAGAATATAGGCAATACACTCGTTGACATTGGTCTTAGCAGTATCTTTTTGAATACCATGTCTAGTCAAGCAAAAGAAACAAAAGAAAAAATAAACAAATGGGACTATATCAGATTAAAAAGCTTCTGCACAGCAAAGGAAACCATCTGCATGGTCATTTTTAATGACCTTAAGAGCATTATGCTAAGTGAAATAAGTCAGACAGAGAAACACAAATACCATGTGATCTCAGTTATATGTGGTATCTAATTAAAAAAAACAAAGCCGAGTTCATAGATACAGAGAACAGATTGGTGGTTGCCAGAGGCAGGGAGTGGGGAAAGTGGGTGAAATGTGTGAAGGAGGGCAAAATGTATAAACTTCTGGTTATAAAGTAAATGAGTCATGGGGATGTAATTTACAGCATGGTGACTAGAGTTAATAATACTGTACTGTATATTTGAAAGTTGCCAAGAGAGATCTTAAAAGTTCTCATCACAAGAAAAAAAATTTTTTGTGACTATGTATGGTGACGAATGTTAACTAGACTTATTGTGGTGATCATTTCACAATATATACAAATATTAATGGTATATGTCAATTATATCTCAATACAAAACAATAAACAAAAATAAAAATTAAAAAAAGACAGTTTGGTATTGGCAAAAAAAAAAAAATCTGTATGGTATACCATTTTTGTCATTTTTTTTTAGTAAATAATGTGGCCATTACTATACTCACATACTTTGTGCATACCTTAATTATTTCTTTATGCTCCATTTCCTAGAAGTAAAATTCCTGGGTCAAAGAGAATGAATACTTTCAAGGCTGTTGAGATATATTGCCAAATTGCTCTCTGGGAAGATGCTACTAATTTGCACTTCCACCAGCACATGTAAATGTGTCCATTTCTTTGCATCCGAGTTAATGGTGGGCATTGTTGTTTAAAGCTATTTTCCAATTTGAGATGCTAAAATGCTATTTTGTTTTACTTTCTCCGTTGTATGCTCTTAGATGCTTTGTCAAAGATTGCTATTTTGTTTTAATATTCATTTCTCTGATTACTTCTGAGGCCAGTTTTTTTTTTTCCACATTGTTATAGCCATTTCTTAAATATATATTTTTTCAGGTCTTCTGAATTCAGCTGGGAATTTTTTTCCAAATAAGAAGTAACATCAAATTGTATAATGCCCACTCTCAAGTTTACTAGCCCCATTTCTGCACCTTTCTTCCCTAGAGATACCCAAGGAGGTTATCTTCCAGAAAGAGCATAAGAAACCTCATTCCACATATTCGGATGTGTCACGCTCGAGCAATTGTGCAAGAAAAGACATGACTTAGCATTGCTAGGAAATACATTTTTAGTAGCTCCTGTGCATGTGGAAGCAACCTGCTACCGTTGAGAACGCAGGGATAGGAAGTCTGCTTTTTAAAAAAATGTGGACAAGATAAAAAGTATATTACTATGTTAGGTGTTTTGAGTGCCTGAGAAAAGAGGTGATGGATAAGTACCAAGGTTTATATATTGTTGGTACCAATAGTGTCAGTACTTTCCCTTTTTTGTTACTTTGTTTTGTTTTTAATCATCTGCTTCTATTTCACATCTACCTTCTCTGTTGGTTTTTCAGATTGGACAGTTGTCCTGGAAAACAGTCTTGGATTCCTAAAATTAAATTTTATATGTAATTTAAGAATATATATATTATGTATATTAGTATATAATTACCATGTATTTTATTTCTGTGCTTTTCTTTTGCTTCCTGGTGAGACCTGTAAAATTTCAGGAAATGATCTGCTTTATAAGTAACAGATTAGGAAACAAAACCATTGTAGTTTATTCCTTTCCATTTCCGTCCTCAAGATTTGGTGAAAGTGGTGGCTTAATAATGATAAGCACCAGAGAACTCAATAAATATTTATTGATTGAAGGAATGAACTGCTACACAAATAAATCCTAAACGAGAGATTAATGTGTAATCTCATTCTTTACTCTCTGTACAGTCTTGGAAGTGGATCCTTGCACCAGTTGTTTTTTATATCTTTGAAAGGATCCTCCGAATTTATCGCTCCCAGCAGAAGGTTGAGATTATCAAGGTAAAGAATACATACTTTCCCCTTGCTGTGATAAGAGTTCTGTTCTTCCTGATTATAGAAATAAATCACGGGCCGGCCCTGTAGCTTGGTGGTTAAGTGCGCGCGCTGCGATGCTGGTGGCCCGGGTTCGGATCCCAGGTGCGCATCGAGGCACCACTTCTCCGTTCATCCTGAGGCCGAGTCCCACATACAGCAACTAGAAGGATGTGCAGCTACGACATACAACTACCCACTGGG